AAGAATATAGTGGTATCAACAACTCATTTTGGGGTTCTTGAACCCGAACTATCTTTTTGTTAGCATGGAACCCATATTATAATTATCCTACCCGTGAGTTTGTCGATCATAGAGTGAGTTATCCGGACAAAATCCCGGAGATCAACATCAGAAATATCCACACCACACACCCCGAAGGGCAGAAGCTTTACCCATTGTTATTCCATGGATAAAGGATTTGCCTTTCGGAAAATGTCCGAATTAGGTGTTATTTTTATTATTAAAAATGATCTACATTTCACCCAATAAAAAATCCTTACATATAGTTTTTTATAAGTGTGCTCAACTATGTTTGTGTTTATACTGATGTGTAACACCCCAATGAGAGGTGTTTCCAATATTCCTGCATTCGAGAAAATAAATATATTTTATTAAACTTGTTATATATTATATACAATGTTTTCATATAAAAGATAAATTTTATATATTTTATAATAAAAAAATAAAAAAATATTAAATTGAAATTGATTTTTTCGCATCTTGTCTGATAGTAAGTATAAGCTAACAAATGGATTCTATTTTTATATCACTAAGGTTTTTCTTCTCGAACCGTTCTTCCAGAATCATTGGTCTCCATTACGGATGTCACAATATATATATATATACAACTTGTCCAAAAGATTCAGTCCCCCCCCTAAATCAATGAATCGCGAAAAAATGTACATATTAATTTATTAATTACACAAAAAGTTATATTTGGATCCTAGGTATTCATGCGCTTAAATAAAATTTTTAGATTTCTGGCTTTTATACAGCTCAAATAATAATAAGAAAATAAACCCCAATCATTTTTGAAAAGAAAAAAAATTTGAATAGAAACTTTTAAAAATCTACATACTAATATAATATTAGATTTTAGATGCGCTTCATTTGATTCTCGGGAAAAATTATTTACGTAATCTTGGATAGATTTTTTAATAATCAAATTTTTTTCTTTCCAAAATGGTCGGTTCGTTTTTTTTTTTATTATTGAACTGTGTATAAATGCTAGAAATTTAAATTTATATTCATGTATTTATTTATTAAGTAATTTGTTTTATGTCAACCATCATCCTATGTTTTGTTTAATAAATAAATTATGAATTACGAATTAAAATAAATTTCGTTATTAAATAATTGTTGTTACCTTTCCTTCCACAAGTAATGAATTCATGGCTGATTCTGGGTGACTCTCCAAGTGAACTCTAATTGCGGCTGTAGCCGAAATATACTATCCGTGATCAATGTTGATTGACGAAATGTTACCTTTGTTTCATAAGTTGTTCCCAAGAAGATAGATTTTTCTTTACACACTCATTTACTACTAAACTCAAACATTTCTTATTTTAATATTAATAACGTGATATATGATCGGGATAGATTAGGAATGAATAATTACGTACTTTAATACATAATTTATTATGCGCAAAAGCTTTTTATAATTATTATCAAATTATAGGAAATAATTATGAAGTTTTTATAATATTCATATGAATAAGTTACTTTGCAATAATAAATCTTCAATAATACAGTAACAATAGAGAAAAAGCAAAAAATATTTATCAAAATATTTTTCTGTTCAGGAACAACAATTAAAAAATTTCTTATGATTTAGTTTTAAATAAAAAGATAAATATTCAATTATAGTGAAATTAATCATCAACCTTATCAATGTTTTCATTTATCATTATACTAGAATCTAATGTATGTTAATTAATTAAAATTATTGTTAGTAACAATCAGTGGAAATTAGTTAGTAAGCTTATTAATCGTTTTAATAAAAAATAACTACCATGTTTATTACTGATGGTAGGACTTAAGGTTCTTGAGGAATCCTATAACCTCAAGAATTTGAAAGAAATGAAGTATCCAAGAATTTTCTTGGAATTGCAGCATTTAACTGTTCATCATTTAAAATGTCTGTACTACTTTTTGGTTGTTTTCCTATCATTTTATATCCAAAATCTACCAAAATATCTTTCAAATACCATGGATTCACTGCAATTTTTCTTGCAATACCCCATGGATCCAAAATTCTGGATCCAAATAAACACACAAGAATGGCGCCAATGACACCTATCGGTTATCAAAAAAAAAAAAAAAAAAAGATTTACACAACTTCTAACTTGTTAAGCTATTCAATTTAAATATACTAACCAAAGGCACCACCAGCTGATGCAATGGTACTTAGAATAGTGGTTGTGCTATATTATGGTTCATAAATAAGATAAATAATTGTATTAATAGTGATGTTTTTAATAATACTCTGTTTAAACTATATTGTTAACTTACCGCTTTTCAGAAATTTCTTCTTGTACAAAATCCCCAGCAGCAACTGAAAAATAACCATTGGTTCCATCTGGCATAGGTGGTGGATTCTGGTCAAAGGGAAAATAATTGACTATGCAATCATATCTCCGAGTAATTGCATAGTTGGGCCCAAGTCCAATGATGGCAGAAACATCCCGAGGTGGTATACTTTTATATATACTTGTCTTAAACTTGATCTAAAAGAAGTGTTAGAGAATAGATAACAAAAATAAGCATACATGAATAAGTGGAAAACGATCAATAATTGTGTGAAAAGATTCTACCAATGAAACGTGTCCTATTATTCCAGGTATAAAGTTCCAGTCAAGGTCAAGTCTTGATCGAACAGCTTTATCCATCTCACTGACATCCAGTAAGTCTATTTAAAAGGTATCAAAAAATTAGCAATTTTTACAATTTATTCTTCGGATGATAACAATTTTTTTAAAGAAGCTGATCTTTAGATTTGTTAGAAAAATTGACTATAATAATAATTAAAATTTACATAAGGGGAATCATCAGTAAAAGATGACCATCTATCTATCTATACAAAAACAATCTTACTAAAAGGTATGCTGGTTCAAATATAATTATCCTTATATAGTTATCAGGAAATTTACTGACCAGGTGAAAAAATCCTTATATTAATTAAAGGTACACCAATATTTTCTCTCACAGCATCCGTTGCATTATCGATCTTGTAATAAAATTTCAATTTTTTCAAACCATTGGGATTTCCAAGTATATACTGTATGTCTTTGTTGGCTTTAAAGGTATGACAACGTTTCCGATCACCACCGCCCTCAGTGACGTTAGGACTAGAAATGTATTTTTGGCATCCATTTTGGATCTCGGTTTGATTATTAAATTTGGTATCACAGCGTAATATTTCAAAGAAACCTGAAGAACAAATCTCCATGTCTATAAATAATAACAGATGTGAGTTTATTGTAAATTTAGTTTATTTATTGACAATAAACTTAACTTGGAATATCAATGTTATTTATATAATCGTATTTTGTAATAACCATTGGGTATTCTGTTCCAAGCTGGATTATTAAATAAACCGAGTATGAAACATAGCAAATACCAGCCAATACATATATGAATTTGCGAAAAATTTTAAATTTTGGTAAGTTGTTGTCGTTGCATTTCTATGAAGAAATTTAAATATATTAAAATCCATATTGAAATTTGTGACTATTGCAAATTTAAATTTTGTACCAACTTCAATTATAGCTTCTATATCATAATCATTATTAACTTTTGTTTTATCATCACTATTAGCTTCTGTTTTATCATCACTATTAGCTTCTATATCATCATCACTATTAACTTCTATATTATCATCATCATTAGCTTCTATATTATCACCATTATTAGCTTCTATTTCATCATCATTATTAGCTTCTATATTATTTTCGACCACAGTTTTTTCATTATTCTTGGCTTCTCTATTATCTTCTGCCTTAGCTTCTTTATCATCAACATCAATTATAGTTTCTCGATTATCTGGAATGCTAGTAGCAGTCATTGTTAATATACTAGCAAACAGAAAGTATAAATGGAATAACTTTTTCGGAATATATTACAACGATTACTACTACACAGCGATGCAATATTCCATAGAGTGTGACGTTTTACAACTCTAAAATTCTGTTATCTCGGAAATTCACGGATCCCTAATAGCTTACTGTGTATTAGAGAAAAAAGTTCGGCATATTACAGTAATGCATTATTAAAGTTTGAAAATATAAAAACATTACTCGCAACATTCTCTAAAAAAATCAAGCTTTGGGAAGATCCGTTGGAATTAATTATCTAATCCTTAATTCAGAAGGTTCTGAGCTGATACTGAGAATAGATATTGTAATAAAAATCAATCAATGAATTAACCAGATAAATTATTTTACCCTTGATGCTAATAAAAAACTAAGTTAACCAATTATTTGCTCTAAATCCATTTTGTTTTTAAGTTTTAAAAACAAACAACGAAAAATGTTATTTATTTTCTTTTATTGATTTCTCATTGATGTTTAGTTAAACCCATTAAAACAAAAATTCTTTGTTCTATGTCTTTTTTTGATTTCAATAAATATGTGAAGTTTTTTGAATGAAATAATTAATTTGGAAATTGTTTTGTCGTAAATATTTTTTAAAAAAAGACATTATACTTGTCTAAAACGGGGGTTTTTTTTATCATCAACAAAAATGTTAGATTGAGCGTAATTACCTCGATTCTTTATTTGGCGCAAGTAAAAATAATTTAAATCTGCTTAGCAATTTAAATTTAGCGATGCCATTGATTCCATAAATAGCACTCAGACGTCGAGCTAAACATGTTTTCTCAATATCAAATAATTCAATACTTCAAGTTTTGAGACATACACTTGACGAAACCTGAGGTAGTCACGTGATTGAAATTAATGTTCTAATTCCATGAGTAAAGTTTCTGGACAACACATCTATCTTCTTTTGTTCTTCAATCTTAGTGAATTTGGTGAGAAACATGTTATATTTGACAATGGTTCGGATTACAATGATGAATCAAAATTGGTTCTCTCACTGGATCATAAACATCAGTACATATCGCATTTATTGAAATTAGTTCAAGTATAGTTTTTCAACATACCAAAGACCTTTTTTTTTCGAGTCTCACGTATCACAACTTAATATTGTGTAAATAAATAAAGGAATAAATCAATAATGCTTTTACTTTTTTTCACGTAAATTTATGTATACAGTTAAACAATGCTTTTTACATAAAAGATAAATTCTATATATTTTATAATAAAAAAAATAAAGAAATTTTTAAATTGAAATTGATTCTTCATTTTAAATCTTGCCCAATGATAATAAGTAAATGGTGTGAATTCCAACAAATGGATTCTATCCATGCATCGCTAAGGTGTCATTGGAATTTTCTTTTCACGCCATTCTTCCATAATCGTTAGCTCCATTGTGGATGCCAATATATATGCGTATGTGTGTATTTATTTATTTATTTTTCCTCATCGATTTACTTTGTGTCATTATCCTTATTATTATGTAAGAATTTGAAATTTGAAATTAGCCAATCGGAATTTTGTACCTAAACACTCCATCCCAAAATTTAAAATTAGTAAATTAACGAGTATAGGGACATTCGGTATGGTATAACTCTTGCAAAACGTATGGTATGGTATTGCATAAGTGTAATAAAATGGTTGTATACCAATGCTTGAATCTAACATACTTCCCTTCACACCCACCAAAAAAGGATTTAGAATAAAATTTTGTGTGACTTGGTATGGAAAAATATGGGCTATACCATACCATACCATACGTTCTGCAAGAGTTATACCATACCGAATCTCTCCCTACCGTAAATTAACACAATAAATTTCGTTATTAAATAATTATTGCCCTTTCTCTCTCAAGTAATGAATTCATGACTGATTCTGGATGATTCTCCCAAGTGAGCTCTAGTTGCTGTTATAACCGAAATCTACTAGTCATTGGCCAAAGTGTAGTTCGCAGCTTAGTTGCCTGCAACCAATTTTTAGAATCAATAATCAATTATTAATTTGATGTGAATACAATAATTATATCAATTAATTAATGCACAATGTAAAAAAGCAAAAACTTTCCTGGTCCTCGTGAGAGATGAATTTATTAATATATTCACGAAGGAACCAAATTTAATTCGTTGAATCGCCCAAGTAATAATGATATTAAGACCGTTCATAAGCATGAGTCATTACATGCAGAGAAATAATGGAAAAATCAGAAACATCAGAATGATTGCAGAGTTTAAAATAGTGGCACATAAGTGACACTATTTTAACAACCATTCTCGATTTTTTTACGCAATTATTGCATGTTTCTGTATTTAATAGCTGGTTTATTGTATGTCCGACTACTAAAATTTTCAGATGAAAATTTTGGCAAGTCTCATTTCATAAGCAGACATAAATATCAACGGATATTTTTCAACCTTCCAACTCTGTCAGGATATTATGTGAATTGGTCCTTAAACTTTCGTTTATTGATACTTTCGTTGAATGGTCAGTTGTTCAAAAAGACCAAGATATTCTCCGCTTATAAAATCGTCAGGGGAAGCTCCATCTTGTTATCCAAGTTGTTGAGCATCGTTAGAGTTATACATTATGTGAACCAGAGCCCTTAAAGAACATTTTTAAAAAAATAAAAATAGATTTAGAAAAATCATATTCGTGTTCAGAATACTTGGGCAGAATTAATTTGAGGTGAGTGTTCTTCCAGAATTAAGTATTTCCATTCCAAATATAGTTTGATGATGATGAATATGACGAGATTGTAATTTGCATGAAATTCAAATTAGCCAATCGGCATTTTGTATCCAATCATCCACCCTAAAAATTTCAAATGCACATAGTATCGATACATTGAAATTGTTTTAGCTCATCTAATATTAGATTATTTGGATAGATGTTTTTCGCAATGAAATCAGCCTTTGTTGGATGATATCATTGTTTGATATTTCCTGAAGCTAGTATTTGATGTGTGAATTTTGAAAATTCAAGCAAGTTCAGGTTAATTGAAATCGTGGCCTGCTTAGCTAGATGGATTTTTTATAATTGTCAATTGAAGGTTGAACTTTAGTAAAATTTTAACATTTACCCTCTAGGTATGGATAGATCTGGAAAAATTAAAACTTCTAAATTTGGATCATTGTATTTTGTTTTCGTTGTCTAACCTTATCATTATATTTGTTGAACAACTTGGACTTCTCAGCTTTCATGGTACATTTTGTGACGTATCTTGCAAATCCTGTGGACATCACATATTGAAAATTTATGTCTTAAAATGATATAAGATGACCATTTTGTTTTCTTGATTTATACAATGATAGATTAATCTTAATAGGTTGGACGGGCAATAGGTTTTTCAGATAACAGCTGAGGGAACCCTTGCAATGGTGATTTGATACTTCATGACCAAATCATACAACGTTTTTTCATGAATCTCTACATGGATAATATTAAATGAGATCAGCTCACCTGTCCTCTTTTTGTGTAGGCAAAGCAATGCATGCGGATCATTTCATGGTTTTGAAATTTGTCACATTCAAAAAAATGTTCCCACTTGCCCCAACTCACCATCCCAGGATCCTTCCACAACTTGTTCCAGACATTTGTCAGCCTATTTCAGTAGTGCAGTATATGTGCAACAGGTGATTAAAAAACAGAAGGCTATCAGGGTAGAAAGTTTTATTACCTTGGAAAGAAAGAAAAATAAATACATTAATTGATTGATCTGCAAGTATCTCAAAAACCGAAAATTCCTTCCAAGTTTATTAAAAGATTGATTTTTTCAACATCTCCTAAACGTGCTATGTTGACTTCTTTCATCCCTTCTTAGCATGATCACATCATGATAAAAGGAGGATATATGGGTTCCATGCTAACAAAAAGATAGTTCGGGTTCAAGAACCCCAAAATGAGTTGTTGATACCACTATATTCTT